ATGCCGACGGTACAATATGCTCCTCTCGGGGAGGATGCAATAAATGCTCTGTAATAGGAGCATTTATTGCCTTTCATTTTCGAGCCTTACCGCATTAAATGCGGTCTCATCAACAGAAGGGTGCAATTAATTGTTTGCTTTCCCAAGCAGTGTGTCAGTAACGGCGTGCAGTTTGTCTGTCTCTGATGTGACATCATTTGACACGCGTCCATCCCCTATTGGCTGTAACCTCTGCATTCCAGTATGTTCTGACATTACTTGTGTAAGACGAGGTCATGATGAGCAGCCTAGACTAGCCTGGGCTAGTGACCTATACGTCAACAGCTTATCCTGGAGTAGAGGAAGCATCCAGGACGGAGTAACTCTCGGCACCGAGGAAAGGCTTATCCCGGGGACCGAGGGAGGTGTGCGACCGAGGTACATAGGTGACCGAGGACACGTGTTTGGTTGTATAATAGATTGAATGCATGATCCTATACGAGGGTACATCGGGGGCGAGGACATTCGGTCGCCGATGGTGCTTGATCCAAGTAACAGTGTTTTAGCAAAATCGAGGACACGTGTCTTCATCATAGGGAATTTCGGAAGAGTCCCATCACTTACCATAATATCCTCAACCCCACTAATGTTTTTTTAACTTCACCAATATTTTCTCAATTTTCTACGGTTAAAAAATACTCCAAGTAGGATTGACTAGTTTTTCACTATTTAATGAGTCCCTCTAGCCAAGTCACTCATGCCGACTAGAAAAGATTCAGTCGAAACATCCAATTATATCAATGTAATATATATATATGCACGTACCATTATAAAACGCATTTATAATATATGTCATGAGTAATACAATATTTAACCAAGAGTTTAGGGTTTTATATATTTCGGATTTGACTACCAACCGTGGCTTAATTAATTTTGAGAGATTTTAGCCACATATTTCAACGTACATGAGTTACACCTCTAAATGACATTTTTTGGAAGTAACAATGCTTATAAACAATTTATTAATAATACATATTTTGACGAAAACAATATTGTAACTAAAGTTTAAAATTTAAGAATTTAAGTTATCCCACTGAGGTAAAATCCCGGCTACACCCCAGGTTGAAAGACTTTGATACGTAACCTCCTATAAGCAACTCCTATAGCGCGTGTCAGGTTATACATATGCTATATAATCAAAAATTTTGAAAATAACCATTTTTTTGGTTGATACTCACTCATTTACCCTTAACTTGTACATTGAGATGTCTGGAACATTAAATACGTATACATAGAACGTACATGGTGCATCCCCTAAGCCAAGAATAATTGGCATATATCCCAACCTTGGACACGACTTCTTCTACGGCTAGAAGACCATTGGAAGACACCTGAAGCATGTCGTGAAAGAAGCACATTGGGCGAGCGTGCTTCAAAAATCCTCGGAGGAGTATAGTTGACTGTAGATATCATGAATTGCAGGTGCAACTTACCAGATCGAAAACCAAGGCATCCACTCTCCAAAATGCCAATCGGAAGCGCATTCAGGGCTCTAGACAAATGCTAGCTATCCACAAAGGTTTTTTCCCCACGATAGTGTCAAAGTTTGATTTTTCTTGGCAGGTTTACAATGCATGCGGGTGTCTCGAAATCTATATTCCAATCAATCACTAAGAGAATTTTTTTTAATGATGGAGAATTATTCAATATAAGATTATATTGGACTCATTTCTGTGAATATATATTTAGATACTTATATACACACCAATTCCCTTACCCGAGTCAAGGAGATGCCACCAAAAGATCTTAATATGATACCAAACGATCTCAAAGTATTGGCCTTTTTTCCTCTTTCATCCTTTTACCGGCAGATGTAACTAAATTTCTGACTATGAAATTACATTATGACGAGATTAGTCATTTGGGCAAGCCAAATCCATAAATGGATGGGAGCTGTTGAGAGGTTCCACATTACGAAACATAAAAGACAACATTTTATGATAAGCAAGACATAGAAGATGGGGACATCAAAAAAATTCTTGAATTCGGCCCTTCCCATGCCTCAAGTTGGTCTAGGCAATTCTAATGGACATGCTGATGTAAGTCGATTATTCCTTAGTGACACATCTATGACAACATTTTGCTTGGGTAGGTGATAATATTGAGTGGCTTCAACTCAAGATTTGAACCCTTGATTGTAAGGCACTTAATATTATCACCTACCCTTGATTAAGTGTTCTTCAACCCATGATTGTAAGGCACTTACCCAAAATTATTGAACCCTTGGACATGACCTTTGCATTAGCTCAGATACAGTCATCAAGATTGTATAAGTCCATAAATATGGCTCCTTCCTCAACATCTCTAAGCACAAAATTGAGACAAGAAAATACACAAAATATGGCATCTTCAAGCTCTACCACACTTCTAGTATTCATATTCCTATTATTAACTTCATGGGCTGCTTCACAATCAATTCAAGAAAGATTTTATGAATGTATTTCTCTCAATTCTGATGTCTCGGTCCCCTTTTCCACAATTTGCTACACCCCTAGCAATTCTTCATCATTCACTTCCATCCTCGAGTCTTCTGCTCAAAACCTCCGGTGCTTGGTGCCTACCATGCAGAAGCCAGAGCTTATCTTCACCCCACTGCTCGAATCCCACGTCCAAGCTGCTGTAATTTGCTCGAAAGAGCTCGGTGTTCAGCTGAGGGTCCGAAGTGGAGGCCATGACTACGAAGGCCTCTCTTATATTTCGAAAATGGGGTCACCATTCTTTGTGGTTGACCTTGCCAAACTACGATCCATAAACGTAGATATACATGACAACAGCGCGTGGATTCAGGGTGGTGCGACTATTGGCGAAGTGTATTACAGAATTGCAGAGAAAAGCAAAATCCATGGCTTCCCAGCTGGTCTTTGCACGAGCTTAGGCATTGGTGGGCACATAACAGGAGGCGCGTATGGATCCATGATGAGGAAATACGGTCTTGGAGCTGACAATGTGATCGATGCACGGATTGTTGATGCCACTGGCAGAGTACTAGATAGGGAGTCCATGGGAGAAGATCTGTTTTGGGCCATTAGAGGGGGCGGTGGAGCGAGTTTCGGTATCATTCTCTCATGGAAAATAAGGTTGGTTCCAGTTCCAGCAATTGTGACTGTTTTCACTGTTCCAAAGACCTTGGAACAAGGTGCAACAAAGATCCTTCATAGATGGCAACAAGTTGCAGACAAGCTAGATGAAAATCTCTTCATCAGAGTCATCATCCAAGTGGTGGATGCTGCTGGAAAAGGTGAGAGAACAGTACAAACGTCCTATAATTCATTGTTTCTTGGTAGAGCTGATAGACTCCTTCATGTAATGAATGAGAGCTNGACAATACAAACGTCCTATAATTCATTGTTTCTTGGTAGAGCTGATAGACTCCTTCATGTAATGAATGAGAGCTTCCACGAGTTGGGATTGACTCGAAAAGACTGTATTGAAATGAGTTGGATTGAATCAATACTCTATATTGCCGGCTACCCGAGAACTGTACCACCCGAAGTATTGCTTCAAGGAAAATCATCATTCAAGAACTATTTCAAGGCCAAATCAGACTTTGTGAAAGATCCCATACCGGAAACGGGGCTTGAAGGGCTCTGGAAATGGCTTTTGGAAGAAGATTCACCACTGATGATATGGAATCCTTATGGTGGAATGATGAGTAAGATTTCGGAATCTGAAATTCCTTTCCCTCACAGAAAAGGCAACATATTCAAAATACAGTACGTAACATTATGGCAAGATGGAGACAAGGACTCCGCCGAAAAGCACACTGATTGGATTAGGAAGCTCTACACTTACATGGGCTCTTATGCTTCTATGTTTCCAAGGGCTGCATATGTGAATTATAGAGATCTTGATTTGGGTATGAACAATGCTGATAATACAAGCTTCTTGGAGGCAAGTGCTTGGGGTTTTAAGTATTTCAAAAGCAATTTCTTCAGATTAGTAAGTGTTAAGACCACGGTTGATCCGGATAATTTCTTCAGGCATGAACAGAGCATTCCCACTCTCCCTTTAATGTGTGACAGGAGGAAAGAGATTGACTCACTAAAGGGACAGTATTGCTCTGCTGAACCTTTTGTTCAAGAACAAGAAATGGTCTAGGATTTCGTCTGTCTCTCTATTGTATAATTGTTTTATAAAACAAAAGAAAAAAAACTGTAATGCTTTCCTAAGTCCGACCCTTGTACTGGTCGAACTCACTTCTTTTATTACATTGGCCATTATTAATCAAACGCCAGCAGTCACCAATTTATCGAAAATTTAAACCAAGTAATCTAACTCCTTTATAGATGAGGAATTCATTGCTGACACATTGCAGCACAGACCACAATCACAACCCAGAATAACGAGAAAATATTCATCCTAACCGTTATACCACAGCAGATACCACATTCAATGACAACTCAACAAGTGGGTAAAATAAATTTCGGTCGTTCAAATAATTACTCTTTCATGTAAGATTATCACTACCATATGCGAAAAAAAAGGGAAATTTACCTTACTTTTTTGTTTATTATTAAATAGTTACATCACGTAACAATGATGATGTGATATAACTGTTATAATAAAAGACATAAAGTCATACCCTTCCTCATTCTTTTATAAGTTAATTACATTTGAACCCCTAAACTCTTACTCCCGCCTTATTTTGTCACCTCAAATATCAATTGCTTTGCACTATCCTCTCAACTACATTTACTTAGTTTCACTATGCCCTAAAGTCAAATCTATAATAAGAAAACAAAACCTCCTAATTGAACTGCTTAAGCCCCTCAGTTAGAAAAACACAACAATTCCTTAGACCGTTTAAATCTAACAGTTTATTTTATAATTTAACATTTTATCCATTCAAGTACGACAACTCATTTAAATTTTAACTTTTAACCACAATAACTCAACCCATACATGTAAAAAAAAAAAGTGCAGGACTAGTGCTATCATATTTTAGCCGCAAAATGATTCACTTATTGCCCCCGACCTATGTGAATTGAAATTCCATCCATTGCCTGCAACTGCAATGGTAAAAATTCAGAAGCTGCCAAAGCATGAGATCCCCCAAGTTCGAGCCCAGAGCAACCCCCATTAGAAATCCAAACTTTTAATCCATATGGGTCTCTCTCCTTCAGCATTAACAAGGCAAACATTGAATCCCTCTGGGTTCCCTATGTTGCAGAGGGGATAACAAAAAAATATTACCTTAAAAATCATCAATCAGACAGGGAAGTTGCTAAAACAAGGCCAACCATAAGAAATGAATAATCGTATTCTGTAGAACCACCAATTTGCTAAAAATCATTTCTTCTAAGAACTACCAAACTTAAACTTCCAAAGACTACTGGGTGATCGAATAAGAATTTGCACACTAAGAATTTGAGTCTCACTGGTTGCCTAAAAATCAAGTTTTACCAATGGGCATGATTTGTTAATGATTGTTTCTATTTGAGATTTACGTCACAACCATGAGTCCAAAAGACGAATAGCTAAAACAATTATGGGTTACAGAAAATAAAAACGGACTAGTTACACAAGAAGTAAGAATACCATTACATACAAGAGCAGAAGAAAGTACAACCAAAAACCTGTTGAGTGAGCGGAGCCAGAGGTCAGCAATGAAAGCATACTCCAGTATTCGATGTAAAGCTTGAACAGCAGAAAATCAAAACCGATAACCAAAACTCCACTATGCATTCCAACTCGTAGTTTCAAGAAAATGTGAAAGGTACAACAGAACCTAGACTGAATCCACCCACCTTCTACCTAAAATCTAGAGGTGTCATGGTTTACCATCCAATAAACAGCAGATATTCACTACGAAGAGGTTTAAGTAGAGCAAAACTGAATTCAGGAACTAAAACAAAAACAATAGTAGAAGCAATTAACTACAACTCGATCCCAATTGGAGTTGGGCAAAACACACTTGCATTAGTGCACTATACGGCTCTGCAACTGGGTACATTAGTATGTTGTATAAGTCTGAATGACGAGAGCTGTTGTTCACTGCTTAGAAAAGAAAACCACTTCCTTATACAATCAGCAGGACTAGATTGACTTACAACTGCAGGAAGCTCCACATCACTCTTAATAAGCTCTTCAAAATTGTGCGAAAGAATCCCAACCAAAGCAGTTACAGTAGCAACTTGAATAGGAAAACCAAATTTCCTTGAATCACACTGGCAAAGAAATGCAGACAACATACCTCTCAGATTTTCAACTCCTGGGTTCCCATATCCATGAGCATCAATACCAAACCTGTAAAACAGAAAATATTCAAGTCTATAATTTGAACAAAGCAAGTATGCAAGAGCAATGATACATATCATCAAAAAAAACTCGGCACCCATGCAACACCACATTAATTGTAAATGGAAAACTATATGGAGACCACAAAAAGAAGATAAAAATAAATTTTCCACTAAACAAAATCATGTCTACAATATGGGGATAGATCAGCATGGCTTGCCGCTTTGTTGGGTCCCTTGGGTCAGGTCTACGTGGTCATCCTTCTCCAACAATATTGGGATTTAGTGATTTTCGTTATCATCTCCAAATTAGTGACCTTTGTCCTGTATTTGTAACATAGAAAAAAAGCAGTGCCACTGTCACTTTTTTTTCTTTTCGTTGCTTGAGCAACATATCACAGTTACCAACTTGGCATTCAAAAGTCCCTCATCAAACAAATAGGAAAAATCAATCATCCAAAATCCCCAAGCAGACCAAGAGAGACTCCATCCCTTCCAATTTCAAATAAAGCATCATCTTCCATCTCCATAATCATTTGCAGTATAGTCTCTTAGTCATATTATACAGCATCATCCCTAAAATGTTAGTAGTATACCCACAAAAATCGCTGTTTCAACCAATAAAACGTCACTAAATAGAATAGATCATGCTAGTAATGTGTCTAGGACTCCAGTAAATTCTCAATAGGGTAACAAAAAGGCGGCCAGCCAGATGCCCATAAATTTCCCTACACCACATAGATGCTGCTTAGTATGTTCTCAATATTGCCCTTGGTTTTCTTTTGAATATTCCTAATTTTCTCTTAAACATACTAAACAACAATAAGGATGCTATCGTACAATTTCTCTTCATTACTAAAAACTGTACACAGGTTTACATGGAATAGTGCTTCCATTAACTTGCTAAGATGTAAACCTATCGTGCACAAAAGCTTATTAATATATGGTAGAAGATGGGGAAAATTACAGAGACCACCTGAGTTCAGGACATTTCAAAAATGATAAGGAGACCACCTAAATTTTGTGTGTGGTAACATGCATATCCTTCTAAGCAGATATCAGCAAATTTTAAGTAGGCCCCATATTTGCTCCTATTTTTGTTGATGTTTTAAACTTATGAAGCTCAGTTTGATAAGAGTAAAATGTTTATTTCATTAGTGGTCTGAAACAGGCTCTATGTCGATCTGAATGTCAATGTCAAAGGTTCTGAAATGTTAGGGGTTTCCGTTTAATATTCTCCAAACTCATGGCGAGTCAGTATAGTATACCCCAAACGCAAAGCTTAAACCTTCTCTTTAGGCCCAAGGAAGCAACAAACATTTAGCATTGTCACCAATATGTGATGGAGGTTCTGGTTGGTAAAGACGACAAGTTTAGAATTGTGACAGGGCTCCTCATTTTTCCACCTTTGCATCAATAAAGAAAGCCTAGACCTTTTTCTATGATTGCTTTCGAAAAAAAAAAAAAAAAAAAAAAAAGAAAGAAGGTTTGGACACCCTCTTTCAGTTTTCCTTTCTACATTAGTGGTTGATGAATCAAGAAGAATGGTAGCTACAGGACCTAGAAGAGACTAGAGACTTAGTAAGGGGAATTTAAGATAGGAAGGAATAGCATCGAGGTGAACCACTTACAATTTGTTGATGATACAATATTCTTATGTGAAGGAGATAGAAGCAATATTTGTACAACTACATCATCAATGGAGCACCAACACTCTAACACGCAAGGATCAAAATTTCGTTTTAAAACGTCTAAAATGTTTCCACTTCCAAGGATACCGAAATAAATTAGTGATGAAATCAAAATCTAATACTTAAAAGTGTTTCATAATTTTTTGATGTGTTTTGTAATGTTTAAATGTATTTGCACAATTTGTTCATAATGTTTCAAAATATTTCAAGATACTTCGACCAATGATTTGAAAAAATAATGCTTAAATTTTTTACTTTTTCATTCTGTTTTCAAAACAAGACAAAATATTTCCAAAACATATTGAAACGTATATGTTTCCTAGGTGATCAACACAATGCATCGAAACGAAATTTTAATCATTGCCGACGTCATTTTGGCTCACGTATCTATGTCATATACGTGTCCGACACACGAAACAGAGCGTTTGGAACAAATTTGGCATTTGCATTCTGTTAAAAACATAATTGTTCGGGGTTTTTTGCAAAATCGACAATGCATATGCACATTCCAGAAAACAATAATCTCACATCACAACCCACAAAGAGGTTCCATAAATTGAGGTCATGACCCAAGTGTTTGCTGTCAAAAAGATAAACTGTTCTGCCTGCAACCCTAAAAGTGGAGAGAGAGAGAGATTGTAACCTTTGGTTTATAGAAAGGAAGGATAAAAGATAAAATCTACTTTTGATTTTTTTTATCCGCCACGCGGAGTATGTCGATTGCTTATCCATGTTACTCGTTATCCAAAATACAACTTATCTAACCATGCTATTGGAAAGTGGGCCAACTACACTTCAGAAGAGTTTCACCTTTTTGGGTCTTCTCACTAGCCTAATAGACTTTACACAATGAATTGAATTTGTATAGAGCAGCAATGCTTATTTTCACATATAATTCAAGTTAAACTTATGTATGAAATTGGGCCTGATCATGATCCCATGGTCTTTATAAAGTATGTCTAAGGCAATATTTGAGAATTCTGAGTCATACTAAAAATAAATATATATTTTATTCAATATGTCCGCATCTCATATTATTAAAAAAAAATATCATGTCCATGTTAATACTTCATAGTGCGTCATCATTACAACATTTTGAGTTGATGTTGGGTCCAAAACTGAACTTGTCCAAAAGTGCAATTGCAATAATCAATATGCAACATGACAAGTTGGTAGTATTCGTAGAAGTTCTAGGACATTTGCTTTCGGGGTGGCCCCCAAGTATTTAGGTCTCCGGTTCCAGTAAAACCCAAAATGTACCGAGTTTTGGGAGTCGGTGATTTTAAAGATTGGTAAGTCGCTAGATACTTTTCAATGAAGGTACTCTTGCATCAACTCATTCAATAGTTCAGAGCATCACTTTATATTATTTCTCCCTTTCTTCATATAATGATGGATAAATCTTATTTCTTTGCGATCGAAATAAAACCTCACCCAAAATTAAACAAAATTCAAACAATGATATAAAATTAATAGTATTTCTCAAATACGAACTAAACCAATGCAGATAATCTCTACTCAAGAATCAAAATGTAAGAAATAAAGGACAAGAAATGGATGACAGTGGGCACCAGCAGTAAGTCGTCAACTGTGACATTTTAGTTACTAGAAAAGCAGTACCATGGAGCAGAAAGAAAAAGCCAAGAAACAATGCTAAGCAATTTAGAGCACAAATAATGCATACAAAAGTCATATTCAAGAAGAATGTGAAATGTCAAGGGACTAAAATCAGTGCTCCACCACCAAGTGATCTTCAGTCCAATTTTCCAATAAGAAGCATCGAACAGTAATCTAGAGTAACATTCATAGAAAAAAAACTAGAATTCAAACTCAGTGCAACACAAATCCAATATACAACTGGAACTAGTTGGCATCAGAGAGCTTCAAGCCGTCAAGATTATAATCCATATTTTCACTTGACTGAACAATTAGACCTATATTCTATCTTTTACAGAATTAATTTCTAGTATGTATTCCTTCTACAGCCTTCTTTGAAGGGATGATAAATGCTCTCATCAGTTTTGCCTTGAGGTGTGCTCCAATCCTTTTTTTACACCAACACCTCTAGACTCCAGAGTTTACTTAAAAAACCAGTGTTTTCTTTGACATTTTTGAAACCTCTTATATGAACTTCTAGTGAAAGCAGTTATCGAAATGACAATTTTACCCCTATTTGACTAAGTTCAAAAATTGAAAAAAAAATATAGGGGCACATATGAAATTTAAAACTTAATTTTTATCAATCTCAACCCCATCTGGGAACTCGTGTATTTGTTAAAACAAATAAATCTGAAGAGGCCTCAGTGTAATTTTACCAAATCCAAATGGTGCATTATTATTTGTGTCTTTTTTATGCAAGTAAATAGGTGATAGTCGCTCACCTCTTTGCAAAATATTTCATAATACAAGACATTATAAATTGTTTTAAGGCATTCGATCACATTAAATACCAAATTCCATAATCTAACCAGTATTTGTTGAGCACATTACCGTAAAAACAAAGAAAAGGTGCAACAATCGGCTGAGAAGAAATGAAACAGAAGCTACTTATTATGCATAATATCCGGTAAATAGAGAAAACCCATGAAAGAAAGCCAAGAAGGAAGAGTATCTCACTTGGATTTGAAACCAAAATGCACTAAATCTACTTATCAAGCTACTAAAAGACCTTTAAGTTGGGGTGGCAACAGAGACATCTCCTACTGGATTCATGTCAAACTGAACATGATATAATGAATCATGCCAAAATCTCAATCCCAAAGATGACTCGTTTATGACACTGGTGACTCAGCCCAACCGGTGCAACTAGTCAAATGAATAAGTTAAGTCGATTATGTGACCAAAAAGGCCAAATTTGTATCAGAAAAATACAAAGACAAACTATGCATATAATTAAAAAAGGGGTTAGATGGATTTTCCATGGATTGATTCCATATATTTTCCCCAAAACCTTCATCCACCACTACAACAGCAAGCTCACAGTGTGTGTGTGTGTGTGTGTGTGTATATATATATATACATATATATATATATATATATATATATATATATATATATATATATATATATACATCCATAAAAATTATAATTTACCTTCCCAGTTGACCAAGAAGAATGACAATAGCAGCAGAAAGCTCCTCCAGAACACAGGAGTCCAATATTTTAAACAGTTGACAGACAACGTTGTCAAATGTCCAGTCCCAGGTCTGCATTTCAGGAGACAATAGAAGAAATTCAGATAATAATTCTTTTACAATTGGTTGGACACCAGCATCGCACCAAAAAAAAACTCCAAAATAAGGGAAACAAAACAATACAAAAGAAAAAACGACAAGAAAGTATCAAATGCACCACAAGTTCAGCAAATTCCTTAAAATCTACACGAAACAAATATTATAAGCAACATAAAACATACATTCTAGTATCTACCTTATAAGGTAAAAATAGTCATGATGCTTTAGCAGCATTGCTCAACACCAGTAGAACCCTTCTATATAAGTACTAATAAGTAGTCAATAGAGTAATTATGAAAGGGTGGAAAACATATATTACAACATGTATCTCTATAAACTGCTCATGAAACAAATTAAAATGGGTACACTGCATCATGAGTAACAGAATGTTTCGACATGCAACTCTAACACTGATCTGTAACAATTCTGGGAACACAATATGCACAACATTACATTTCTAAAATAGTCAGTATTTGTAAACTTGAGGAGAAAAAGATGTTAAAACTTTTATTGGTGCTATCGCACACTCAAATGCAAAAGCATAACTATGATGACAAATTAACAAAGAATGACCAACGTGCAGAGGTGGCAAGGGCAAAACCAGACCAGCAATTTAACATAAACAAAAATATTAAGAATCATGCAATGTTCGTTTTGATTTTCTTTTGTGTTCTCTCTCTCTCTCTCTCAAAAATGTAGAACTGTCATGTCAAACAATTTTATAAAAAAAAAATTCACATGTTCAAGATGTGATTTCAACGAGAATGAAAGTTACTAACCCAGCACCCCCCCTACCAATTCTCCTACCTCGAATGAGCTAACATGTGTAATATTTCTCATAGATTACAGTATATTCCTTCCAAGCGAAACAAAGAAATCACATTATTTTTTGTACGTGAAAGAAAATACTCATAGCAAATTGATACGAGTGCCTAAACAGCTTGCAATCTCCTGCTAGATGGTTAGGCAAGAGTAAAATTTAGTTAACTCCACTGGCTACCAAGCAAAATCTTTTATCTTTTGCTTCTCAAATGGGGCACAAATCTCATTGAAAACAAAGAAAATATCCCCTTTTTTTTTTTTTTTTGAAATCCTACGAAACAATAAAAAACTAAAATGCTCATCAAAAGGCTGAAAATAAAAAGAAATTTTCCAGCTTCAGGAAACGTCATCAAAATATAAAAAATTGAACACAGACCGGCTTAGTCAAGTCAAGATTGCCAAACTATAGCATCCAAACACCATGAGCAGAAAGAAAAACAAAAATGTCATCTGGGGGAAATGAGCAAAAAAGGGAGTGAAATTCATACCATACTGAATGCCACCATTTCCACTAATGAAATGACATCAATGAAGTGGAAAGAGTTCCCCTCGAAAAAAGAGTTTGGGTGAAGACTAGGCATCTCAAACTTGTTCAAACAAGATACATTGCAGTTAAAACATAGGGAACCATAACCCCCTCGGTGACCTGCAGTTTGTTCAGTTTTCTCCTCATGGAATAAAGCTCCAGAATTTGCTGACTTAACTAATTCCATCGGATCTTGATGCAGGGTACTCGACATGGCATAGTTCTGAAGTTTTTCCAAGAGAAGCAAAATAACAATATCCACAGAAGCTGCACCCTCAGAAAATGGACATGCCGCATTAGACTGAGCACCAGTCATAGATGGAAGACAATAAGCAGAAAAAGTAGGTGAATTTGTCCTCTCAAGAAAGGTAACCATAGATTTGATCACGGTCATTATTAAACTGAAGTCATCAAGGGAAAAATACATAGAACCACACACATGAGCAAACACATGCAGAATAGTTAGTGTCAATGAAGAGTCAAATTTCTGCATCCTGAAAATGTTGTATGAAGCCTCACATATAAAACCAATGTGGTCAATTGCTGTACATAATGACGCTAAAATAATGCTTCCGGCCACCAACTGCTGAGTTGAAGCCGCTTGAACAGATAAGACTATATCCCCACTATCCATACCAATCTTGACTGTCGAATCCAATGCAAGCATTGATTGAGAGGATACATCACCAAATGCCAGCACTCTTCTATCTATAAGAAAATCCTCAATGAGAGTAAGCAGGTCATCCAAGTGGCATAATTCCACAAACATACTTCGAGTCTTTAAATCAGACATAACTGCAACAGCAAATATCGCAAGTTGATCAAACAAAAGCAATGAAAATGAAACTAACTTATGATCTCTTACAAGAATTTAACAATAACATGACATCAGCACACACCTGTGCACATTTGACCAGCAAAAGCATCTAAGAAGAGGATCGGATCCATGTCTGAGAAATTTCTGAAGTTTTCCAATGCATTCCCGGAAAAGGTGTGCAGTAGCAGCGAGAAGAAAACACACCCCTTCTCCCTACAAATAGTAAGCACAAAACAGAACCAACAGAAAAACAAACGAGTTAGAATTTTCTTCCAATTACGCATATGAAAAAGAGAACATTTAACAAGAGATTCACCCTGCGCATAACTAAAACAGACATGGATCATGGGCATGGACATGGACATGGACAGGACACAACTCAAACATCCTGGCAAGGCAATTTTGAAGATGGAGGACTGATTACACTAAGAATGAATTTATTTAATCACAAATACATCTATAAGGGACCAGTATAATGTTTTGATTGCTAAATTTGGAAACCCATGTTAAAATTGCCAACTGCAAAGGTGAAGCTCAATGGAAACTTACCTATTACTTGTAAACGTTAGGGGTACAACTCGGGTGGGTTGGGCGGGTTGGACAATCAATCCTAGCCCAACCCTAGGTATATAATCTTCAACCCTAACCCTAACCCTAAACCTACCTCGGGTTGGGGAACTCAACCCGAGCACTGCCCGAGTTTAATTCGGGCGGGCTCGGGTTGATGATTTCGGGCTTATTTCGGATTACTTTACGAGTTCAATTCGGGTAGAGTCCAAAATAAGCTTGTTGTTCTAAACCTAATACATATATTACATAATATTCACCTAAATTAACAACCAATAACTTCAACCAAGTTTTTAACAAGAAAGACTGAGAGAACAAGAAAGGCAAAGAGAACAAGAGAGACAAAGAACGATAGAATAAAAATAAAAAATTAGTGCTAATACTTTATATATATATATATATATATATATAATTTTTTTTTTAATTTTTCGGGTTCGGGTTGAACTCGGGTTCACGAGGCCTTAACCCGAGCCCAACCCAAATTGAATTTGGGTTGGAGTTTTTTGACTCAAACTCAACCCAAGTATTAAAAACCCTTGCCCAAGCCCTAATTTTTTCAGATCGGGCTCGAGTTGAAATCAGGTTGTCCAACCCAAGTTGCACCCCTAGTAAACGTACAATGACCTTCCAGTTTTTTTCTCCTTTTGTACAAGCCCAGTGTTACTACTACCTTGTATCTCTTCTCCAGGAAATATATTATCTCATACAAACGTATCAACAAGCTTGATTTCTGTTTATTTAAGATGTTGCCAAGTGGCCCAAGTGTGGGTCAATAGGAGAGGGATTAGTAGCAAACCAGAACTGCTACCCAAACCAAAACCAGTGAGTTTATCCAGTAGAACATCCAGAACTCTTTAAAAAGATAAAATAGTCCATATGACATGTGATTTAACCGGAAGTTGAATAACTACTCACCTAGGAGAAAGATCTTCAACCTTCAAAAGGGCCATCAGAATATTTCGAACCAACCAATCCGTCTGAGAAAGCATAAAGCATTGAGACATGCAACTTCTCATAGCATGAAATATCTTAGATATGCTGCCACCGTCATTTCTATCTGGAAAAACAAAATAGAATTTCAGAAGATCATGTTGGGTAAATAAAGGTCTATTCTCACACAAAGCAATCGATCCCTCATTTCCAGAAATAGATACATTTGGCATTTCCAACTCAGCACGAGAGTCCCAAAACTGACGTATGCAAGTATTGCCCGTATATGCAGTGCTAGAGTTACCATTTTCATTGTTTCCCACATTCTCAAATGAATCAAAAAAAATCTCATTCTTCTGCAATGACGGAATATGAGCAGTACTAGAGGTATTAAATTCCAAATCACTGGAATCAATCTCCCTGTTAATGACATCGAGGCTGCAACATGGCACCAATTTGTCCTTTACATTAATATTTCCCTCATAGGAGCTCTCATCTACTAAAGGCATTGTGTTTTCCATCTCAAGTGTTTCAATACTTTGAAGTTCAATCTCAGGAATAGTAGGTGACAGAGGCGTCTTAATTGCTATACGGTAACATTCCTCTAGAACAATACTATCCAAGTCAAGCATTTTCATATAATCACCATTCACAATCTCATCAAAACTTCCCGAAATTTTTTGGCTGCTTCTTAAAGGATCTGCTGTTGCATCCCTGCAAGCCTGAGCAGTTCCTTTTACATTATAGGCAGGTGGAAAAGCTTCTGTGCAGACATTAACCTCTTTAATTCCAAGTCTCTTCATGTGCTCACCAGTATTGTCCAAATGCCACGAAGCCTCTTTTTCTTTGGAAGATGCCTTTCTCTTTTTGCGTGATCTGTCTAGCTTATCATACAAATTGTGTTCCAGGTTAAGTTCCATGGGTCTCTCTCCTTCCAAGTCATTCATCATTTGACTGTTCAACATACCATGCAGCCTAGATAAGTTCTCAGATATCTGCAGATACCACTTCTGACCCTCAGCGTAAAGATGTTCAACGGATTCAACTGCATCAAGAATCCTCTTTCTCTTATTATTATTATGAGCAGTCATCCCAACAGCATCAATACTTGGAGAACTTCTGACATTATTTTCAGCCCCCACTGCATGATTTTCGTTGTATCTCACTACCATAGCCTCGTCAGTCAATCTGGATATAGTTTGTTGTGGATCTGTTTTCCTTTCTGCCAGTTTAGCTGATGCAGAGACAGAAAAAGCACCTCTTTCCTGTGAGCCCACCAATGGTCTATCAGAAAAAGATGCTGTACTGGAATTCATGGCAGAACTCTCTAACATTTTTCTGTTAGAACCTCTAAGCAGAGGCTCCAATTTAGAATCAATACCTGAGATGGATTCAGTACAGTTCCCTCCAGATAGAGGAAGCAATGGTGCTACACATTCTGCGGTTCCCTTGAAAGGATTAGGGCCAACCAAAGTTGTGCTGCCAGTAGAACTAGGCTTTACAAGCTCTTTTTCCTTGTGAAGCTGCATCTGATATGCTTCCTTATCANGGGTTGGAGTTTTTTGACTCAAACTCAACCCAAGTATTAAAAACCCTTGCCCAAGCCCTAATTTTTTCAGATCGGGCTCGAGTTGAAATCAGGTTGTCCAACCCAAGTTGCACCCCTAGTAAACGTACAATGACCTTCCAGTTTTTTTCTCCTTTTGTACAAGCCCAGTGTTACTACTACCTTGTATCTCTTCTCCAGGAAATATATTATCTCATACAAACGTATCAACAAGCTTGATTTCTGTTTATTTAAGATGTTGCCAAGTGGCCCAAGTGTGGGTCAATAGGAGAGGGATTAGTAGCAAACCAGAACTGCTACCCAAACCAAAACCAGTGAGTTTATCCAGTAGAACATCCAGAACTCTTTAAAAAGATAAAATAGTCCATATGACATGTGATTTAACCGGAAGTTGAATAACTACTCACCTAGGAGAAAGATCTTCAACCTTCAAAAGGGCCATCAGAATATTTCGAACCAACCAATCCGTCTGAGAAAGCATAAAGCATTGAGACATGCAACTTCTCATAGCATGAAATATCTTAGATATGCTGCCACCGTCATTTCTATCTGGAAAAACAAAATAGAATTTCAGAAGATCATGTTGGGTAAATAAAGGTCTATTCTCACACAAAGCAATCGATCCCTCATTTCCAGAAATAGATACATTTGGCATTTCCAACTCAGCACGAGAGTCCCAAAACTGACGTATGCAAGTATTGCCCGTATATGCAGTGCTAGAGTTACCATTTTCATTGTTTCCCACATTCTCAAATGAATCAAAAAAAATCTCATTCTTCTGCAATGACGGAATATGAGCAGTACTAGAGGTATTAAATTCCAAATCACTGGAATCAATCTCCCTGTTAATGACATCGAGGCTGCAACATGGCACCAATTTGTCCTTTACATTAATATTTCCCTCATAGGAGCTCTCATCTACTAAAGGCATTGTGTTTTCCATCTCAAGTGTTTCAATACTTTGAAGTTCAATCTCAGGAATAGTAGGTGACAGAGGCGTCTTAATTGCTATACGGTAACATTCCTCTAGAACAATACTATCCAAGTCAAGCATTTTCATATAATCACCATTCACAATCTCATCAAAACTTCCCGAAATTTTTTGGCTGCTTCTTAAAGGATCTGCTGTTGCATCCCTGCAAGCCTGAGCAGTTCCTTTTACATTATAGGCAGGTGGAAAAGCTTCTGTGCAGACATTAACCTCTTTAATTCCAAGTCTCTTCATGTGCTCACCAGTATTGTCCAAATGCCACGAAGCCTCTTTTTCTTTGGAAGATGCCTTTCTCTTTTTGCGTGATCTGTCTAGCTTATCATACAAATTGTGTTCCAGGTTAAGTTCCATGGGTCTCTCTCCTTCCAAGTCATTCATCATTTGACTGTTCAACATACCATGCAGCCTAGATAAGTTCTCAGATATCTGCAGATACCACTTCTGACCCTCAGCGTAAAGATGTTCAACGGATTCAACTGCATCAAGAATCCTCTTTCTCTTATTATTATTATGAGCAGTCATCCCAACAGCATCAATACTTGGAGAACTTCTGACATTATTTTCAGCCCCCACTGCATGATTTTCGTTGTATCTCACTACCATAGCCTCGTCAGTCAATCTGGATATAGTTTGTTGTGGATCTGTTTTCCTTTCTGCCAGTTTAGCTGATGCAGAGACAGAAAAAGCACCTCTTTCCTGTGAGCCCACCAATGGTCTATCAGAAAAAGATGCTGTACTGGAATTCATGGCAGAACTCTCTAACATTTTTCTGTTAGAACCTCTAAGCAGAGGCTCCAATTTAGAATCAATACCTGAGATGGATTCAGTACAGTTCCCTCCAGATAGAGGAAGCAATGGTGCTACACATTCTGCGGTTCCCTTGAAAGGATTAGGGCCAACCAAAGTTGTGCTGCCAGTAGAACTAGGCTTTACAAGCTCTTTTTCCTTGTGAAGCTGCATCTGATATGCTTCCTTATCAGAGAGTTTCCTCTTTAAGTTTAAGCTTTGCATTCGAGAGACATTGCCAATCTGTAAAGTAAAACCTTGATCAATAAAAACCATGTATAGAAGAATGTTTATTACTTTGATTAACAAGAAACAATAGACTGGCCAAACTAGAACATTCACAAAGCAAAGAGAAAACATTACGAGGTGATCTTAGAAACAAATTTCTGGACATGGTCTTGAAGAGGAGATTTCATGGAAACAAAAAGGTAGGATCAGGTGGGGTCAAAGGGCGGCCAAGAATCCTAAAATGTTTCATAGGGTGGTAAATGGGAGGAGAAAAAGAATCCTATAAATAAGATGGAAAGTGGAGAAGCCTTAGTTGTAGGGGATGCAGGGCACATTGAGAACAAAATCATTAGTTTTTGAAAAGTTGTATTAGGATGAAAACATTGTTAGGCCAAGATTAATGGGTTTAAATTGGGGCTCTATTAATGAGGGAAAGGAGAGTTGGTTCTTTCTGGTGTGAAAGAAAGTTGATTGGAAAAGCCATTTGATGACAGTGAGTTAAAAGCTGCAATTTCTGAGCTTAGTAGGGATACGGCTTTGAGGCCAGGTGGTTTTCTCATGGTGCCTCAAGATTGTTCAAAGTTATGAAAGGTGATTTGGTGGAGATTTTTTTTTTTGGGGGGGGATCTTTAAATTATGGTGTGGTGAATGTATCTACCAAGGTGGCATATATTCATTTGATATCATTAAAGCATATATCTATGAAGATCAAGGATCAACATTTCATTTTGATGCATAGTTTCGGCAAGCTTGGAAAATGGAAACAAATAAAAATTTTGAAAATTTGTTTCTGTAACATTCTGAAACATGAAGATTTATGATTTCGGGCTTGTTAGTTTGGTGACTAGTCCTTATAAGATTTTCCCAAATGTGTTGTCTATTAGATTGGGCAAGGTGTTGGGTGATATTGTCTCTAAACATCAAGGTGCCTTTTTTAAGAACAGACAAATCATAGGCACTATGTTGTTAGCAAATGAAGTTAAGGAGTATAGGATCAATGGTAAGGAAGGGGTGGTTTTTAAAATTGATTTACAATAAGCATGTGGCTTGGGATTTTTTAATATTTGTCCTTGAAATCAAAGGTTCTGGAGTTAGACACGGGAAATGGCTTAAAGGGTGCTTAAGTTCTATAACCTTATCACTTCTTGTTAATGGTATATCTAATTCTACAAGGGGTTTCAAGTAGGGGATCCATTGTCTCCTTTTCTTTTCACTTTGGTTTTAGTAATAAGGGCAAGGGACTATAACTGAGTTGAGGATTCTTCGGTAGGAAGGGATCATGTGTAGATTACTCATTTACAATTTTCAGGTGATATAATATTTTCCTTTTCAGGTTACTAAACTTGTGTAGATTTTTTTGTTTTTTAGATTTTTAGCTTGGTGTTGGGACTGAAGGTTTTAGTGTCCGAGAATTTAGTAACAAGAATAAATACGCAAAAGGAAATTAGATAGGATCTCAAATAGCGTAGGTTATGTGGTGGAATGACAGCCACTGAAGTATTTAGAGCTCCCTTTGGTAGTCGGTTTAAAAAAGACTGATGGTGAGAACAGGGCTCAATTCCTTCCTTGCCAGTTCTAGCATCCCTTAGCGTTAATCCAGAAATGAAGGCAAAGCCGGATTGTCCAGTAGCCATTGATATTGTCTATCCACCCATTTTCTAACTTGCTTAAAGCTACATCCTTAACTACCTAATAGTTGAGTAAGGACTTTAGTGCTTAATCTACTATTATCAAGGGGTGGGACACTTACTTCACTGCAGTTTGGAATGGCCAGTTTCCCTATTTACTTCTTGTATTCGTTTAAGAACCTAGGATAATTGCAAAAATGGTGGAGATAGAGACATTTGTGGAATTTTAGTGAAAAAAAGAAGGACAAACTATTAAAGTGGGAGGTTGTGTCTAAAACTAAGATTTGTGGGGACTGGGTATGGAAAAGTTGGTGAAGAGATATACTGTTTTATCAAAAAGGTGGTGCTCTTTATGGCATGTATTACTAGAAGTAAAAATGAACTTTATCCCAATGATTGGGCCTCAAATGTAATAATTAGGGTTTAATGTCCCTAAAAGTTCTCTTGAAGTTAAAGTTGTTTCATGGAATGTCTTAGGAGTGTGGGAATGGAGAGAAAATCAATTTTTGGAAGATAGAACAAGGGAGAGTCCACTTTTACTTTGTTATTTACCCAGCTCTTTGGACGATTTGGGTCTCATGATTCCACTGTTGCAAGTATGGACAGTTCATCCTCCTCTAGTTGTGTAGGAAGTAGGAACGTGAATGATTGTCATCTTTGTTATATGTGCTTCTATCAGCGCCTTTGGTAAATAAGGTTGTGAATGCTTGGTTCTTCGAGTGGATTTTCTAGTAAATTTTAATTCCATTAGCTGATTGATCATAAATATTCCACCATTTTCAAACCCTGTTTAGTTATTTGGAAGGCCAAAGTGCCCATTACGATGCAAGTTTTTGTTTAGACTGTTGCTGATGAGAAGATTAATACATGTAACTTACTGCCAAGAAAAAGGCGAAATACTTGCCTTTCTCCTCGAGGATGTGATCACACTACAATTGCAATGACAGAATTGAAATATCTTTCTTCACTATCCTACGTTCAATTTGTTGGACAAAGCATTTGGGGAGTAAGTTCGGAGTGGGTAATTCCAGGAGGTTGTGTTTCCTTCTCCGTGGAAGATTATGGTATATTTGGAAAGGCTCATAGGTCATCCATAATGTGTGACAGTGTGATTGTGGCAATTTTTTGGTTGTCTTTAATGGAAATAATAAAGTTGAGTAAGCTAGTTTTTGGCCTCTGTATGGGTCGCAGCTTCAAAGAAGTTTCAAGATATTCCTTTTTTCTCCATTCATCATAATTGGATTGCAACATACCAAACCAAGCATTATGTCTCTCAATTGGATTGCAAAACGTTGAACTGAAAGTCACCAAGTATTGTTACCTTATGGATATTTTCCTTTTTGTTTCTTAGTGGATCTGTTTATCCACTTTCGTGTGCTTTCCTCTTTCTTTAATGACAGTTTTGTTTCCTACCAAAAACAAAATCATTAAACTCAAAACTATAGATCCTAGAAGCTGTGACCAATATGAACGAAGCTAACAGCTGGTAGTTAAATAGCATTTTACATAAACTTCAATGCCAAATCCACTAACATATCAATTCATCCCTAAAACTAAACTGAGAGATTCTATTATGCCATCTAGAAGTAAGTGTAAACTCCAATAAACTTGTACTCACCCACCAGCTCACCAAACTAAACAGTCATCAGGCAAATACCTATGTTCAAGTATACTTCAGTCGCTTCTGAGTGAAATCAACCACTACAGAGTGCAACAACAAACACAAGAAACCTGTATGCTATTGTCCACCAATAAATGCCATCACCAACCCATCAAAAGAAACAAGAAAACTCACATCAGAGCTTTAATTAAAGGAAAACTAACCTTGTCCATGTCATCTATACCTTCATCGCTGCAGGAGAAACAGGCGTCCAGTACAACCAGGCGCTTTGAAAATTGAACAAACTCCTGTTTCAAACGATATAGTTCCTGTTGTAGAATAATGTTACGACCCATTTCCAACTTCGCAATCTTTTCGGCATGCTTTACCTGCCGCTTTTCAAACTTCAATTGTTTCTTCAGCAGCTTCATTTTCCCAGCAGCTTCAGTACTCGTGTTCTTATCAGGTGCAACAACCAAAGGCTCAACCAATGATCTAGAGGACACAAGTTCCTGTATTTCCCTATGCAGGTCAGCAGGCAAACCAGCCAATTTTCTAGAGGATACAAATTCACTTATCTCCTCCTTTAATTTCTCAATCATATGGCCATCCTGCTCCATTTGTTGAGACAAAAGATCAGCACGGCATTTTTCATCCATGGCCTTCTTCCCGTTCATTTCTGCAAGCTTCCTTTGCTCTTCAGTTTGAACCATCTCTAAATCTGCCCGCTTTCTCTCTTTGATCGTGTTCACTTTTTCTGCCTCAAGCTTTTTGCTTGCCTCTTTGAACTTAATTGACTCCAAAACCAATTGTGATCTTGCTTCATCTGCTTCTTTCTTTAGGGATTCCAACTGAAGTCTTGTTTCCTCTGCCCTTTTCCGCTCGATATCAGCCAGCCTCCTTTCTTCATCAGCTCTAGCCTTTTCTGCCTTCACGTTTTTTCTTGCTTCATTAGCTTTCTTCTTCTCTGCATCAGCTTTCTTTTTCTCAGAGTCTGCTCGTATTCTCTCTTTCTCTTGAAGCTCCTTGAGTTTATCTAATTCAGTTTCTAATTCAGAGACACGTAACCTAAGAAGAGTTTCGCCATCAACATTGTCAGCTACAGAATTCTTTTGCTGCAACAAAAGAACTTCAGACTTCAGAACGGAGATCTCATCCTCCAAAGAAACTCGAAGAACCGATTCCTTCATTCTCTCCTCTTTTTCATTATCTGCTCGCACTCTTTCCTTCTCATATGCTGGAAAATAAATATTACAACAAAGGATGGAACAAGTTATTCACCTAATAATGTAAATCTATGCTCCAATTTCTGTGTTCATGAATGTATGAGAAAAACCATGCATCTGACCAGCTTATACATATCAAATTTATGCATTGCATCATGTAAGAAGAAAATTTCAATGTCCACATTATTGTAGCCACAATGCCTTTCTTTCATCATTGCTAAACATACTTTCCAACTTACCTTGCGGCCCTTGCCAAAGCATGGTGGGCATTAGCATTATGTACACCTAATGTCATAGAGAGACAGTGTAGTAACTCTATTGTCTATCTTTGTGAGTGCATGGCCCACATGTTGAGACTTAAGAGGATAAATAATATCACAAATCAACAGAATAAAAAAGCTCAGGATATTAAGTTACCAAATGCTTAAGTGGCAACTTTAAAGTGAATTAAAAAACACCGGTGATAGACAATATGATAGAAAAACCCCATGCTGAAAAGTTAAGCAATATAGCTCAGGATATTAAGTTACCAAATGCTTAAGTGGCAACACTCAAGCGAAGTAAAGAACACTGATGATCACCAATATACCCTCAAATTACTCACTTTTTCTATATATGGCAAACACTTTATGTGCATGTGTGTTATACATTATGATTAAGCTAAACTCGAGGGATCATAGATACAGAACGTGAAACAGGATAAGGGTATGACAAAACACAAACACAGCGATACAGAAAAATATAAAAAATAGGTTACAGATTCCTAGAGCTATGTGAATACATACATACATATATACGTATATACATGTGTGTATTACATGTGTAACATGATAAAATTAATATGGATGACTCAAAGATCTTTTGTTGAAAATAAAATAATATTCATGCAAGCAACCCTAATATTGCAATAAAATAGATGGTATGAGATAAATATATTGAATAAACCAATCAATATAATTTCATTTTTCCTGCATTTGAATGGACAACTCAATCAAAAATATCAAACATATTACATATTGTAATAAGATACTCAAATCAGTCTCCTGCTTCCACCTCTTAGATTGACCAAATCTTAAATGGAATAATAATGACATGTTATAAGAAGGTCTTATTCAATAAACGACATACTGAATAGATTAACCATTTTAAGGTCCAAATTATATTTGTTTTCTTGGACGAACTCCCATGTTTTGTTTTAAAAATCATTTATTTCACTTTACTTAAGTTACTTGTTTCAATAGCCTACTCTAAAAAATGAAAAATTGTATATTTAGCAATGGCATATCCTCGATGTCTCTCAATGTACCCTAAGTGTATCGATCGTGTATCCTTGGCTTATCCTTAATTTATCCAAAATTAGATAATATGTTTATAATATCCAAGGTTATCCAGCCACACATGAGACATATCAGTATCTGTACACAAGGTCGTCAAAACTTGTACCTGAAGGGATTTCATTTTTCAAAAATAATGCATACCGTGTCGTAACCTATGGTGTGTTGTAAGATACAAGCAATTTATAAAATATATTCTAAAATACATAAACCTATGAGAAAATGTCATAATAACAATTCATTTTCCCAGAAATCTCGCACATAGCATAATTTAAAGAGACTACCTAGTCCAAAACAAAACATTAACAATCCAACTATTCAAATATCCAATATAATTCATTAATATTAAAATCTAGGGACTTGTAGTTCAAACATCTAGGGAGCTAGAGGATAAACTTTTAAGAATCCAACTATTTGCTCCCGCAATGGAATGAACAACAAAAGAAGACTTCTGATTTTTAAAACCCTTAAGAGTGAAAACATGAAACCTGCCTAGTGTTTGGAAAAAAAATTACTTCCATGTGAAACAATGTTATTTTCTTGTTGAAATCCAAAAAAAAAAATTTTCAACTGTTTCACCCCATATCGAATTACTAGTATATATGCGCAATCAAAATATGGTTTTTGGGGATGGAATTTGTGGCGTCAACCTATAGGGTTTACCGTTTTTCTAATTTCTTCCCCATACAAGTGTGAAAGATTGTCCTTTGAATTTGCCAAAAGCAAAAGAAGAATTGGTAGCAGGTTATCAAACCGAACATTCAGGCATCAAATTTGGTTTCTTTTTCCTTGTTTCATATTCGAATCTACTGCTTTCTTCATTATTTAAAAGTTCTTTACCTTGGGAGTTGGAATCTTTCTATTTTTTACATATTTGTTCATGTCTCGTATTGCATGAATCGAATCACGTATCCCATCATACAGTGCACATCCCATACATTTAAGTGATACGTATCATTTGTTTCATGTATCAAAATATATCGTACAATACGTATCGCATATCTTACAATACTAACCACCATGCCCAACAAACCTAACAAAATTCAAATGTAGGATATATCTCATTACTAAAAACTTCTAATGAGACCTTCAAGTAGCTTAAGTAGACTTTAACCCTATTTGACAAAATATGGTGCTTCAAATGTAGAATACATCTCATAAATCAAGTGATGGTGAACTTCTAAATCTGTATGGGATTCTTATGCGTTCAAAAGAGTCCTTAGCCTCATGAAATTTGAACCAATACATCTCACTAAACATAGGCTGACTATGTAAGAATTAAGTTGATAATTTCAATCCCTTATTCATTTTAATGTTTACTCCCGTTTCTCTTTGGATTTTGCAACCCGTGCTCTTTAACAAATCTCACATCCTTCCACATTATGAGGTTAGATATTGTGGATCAAAGGTAGTTGTAGCTCCAACACCAAAATTATGTAGATTGGAAAGAAAAAGATATAAGAGTAGAAGAACAAGAAAATTTGATGATGAAGAATTAAGAAAAATAGAGAAGAATTGTAAGAAATTAGGGAGAAGGAGAAAAACTCAATTTGTTAATCAATAAAGAAACCCAAGTCTTACCAAACATCATTACATCCAACCCCTTTACACAGGGAATCAAAATCCAAAGTCAAAGATTTCTAATAATACTCTAACACCAAATTAAGATAAATTGATAAAATATAATAAATTCCCAATAATAAAATTACAATAAAATAAATTCCAACATCCTAACCTCCAATTTCAATAGAAATCCAACTTCTTTCCGATCCCTATCATTTGGTCAACCAGAAAAGCATAAGGTTGAGTCTATGATACTAAAATCAGTGCGGATAAAGCCAAAGGTCAAGTCTACATCTCTCCCAGCTTCATTAAAAGGGTCCAACAAGGGTAATAACTCTGTATCACAAATTCTAAAATATGAATATTATATCATTGTTTCTATTGATTNCCGTTTTTCTAATTTCTTCCCCATACAAGTGTGAAAGATTGTCCTTTGAATTTGCCAAAAGCAAAAGAAGAATTGGTAGCAGGTTATCAAACCGAACATTCAGGCATCAAATTTGGTTTCTTTTTCCTTGTTTCATATTCGAATCTACTGCTTTCTTCATTATTTAAAAGTTCTTTACCTTGGGAGTTGGAATCTTTCTATTTTTTACATATTTGTTCATGTCTCGTATTGCATGAATCGAATCACGTATCCCATCATACAGTGCACATCCCATACATTTAAGTGATACGTATCATTTGTTTCATGTATCAAAATATATCGTACAATACGTATCGCATATCTTACAATACTAACCACCATGCCCAACAAACCTAACAAAATTCAAATGTAGGATATATCTCATTACTAAAAACTTCTAATGAGACCTTCAAGTAGCTTAAGTAGACTTTAACCCTATTTGACAAAATATGGTGCTTCAAATGTAGAATACATCTCATAAATCAAGTGATGGTGAACTTCTAAATCTGTATGGGATTCTTATGCGTTCAAAAGAGTCCTTAGCCTCATGAAATTTGAACCAATACATCTCACTAAACATAGGCTGACTATGTAAGAATTAAGTTGATAATTTCAATCCCTTATTCATTTTAATGTTTACTCCCGTTTCTCTTTGGATTTTGCAACCCGTGCTCTTTAACAAATCTCACATCCTTCCACATTATGAGGTTAGATATTGTGGATCAAAGGTAGTTGTAGCTCCAACACCAAAATTATGTAGATTGGAAAGAAAAAGATATAAGAGTAGAAGAACAAGAAAATTTGATGATGAAGAATTAAGAAAAATAGAGAAGAATTGTAAGAAATTAGGGAGAAGGAGAAAAACTCAATTTGTTAATCAATAAAGAAACCCAAGTCTTACCAAACATCATTACATCCAACCCCTTTACACAGGGAATCAAAATCCAAAGTCAAAGATTTCTAATAATACTCTAACACCAAATTAAGATAAATTGATAAAATATAATAAATTCCCAATAATAAAATTACAATAAAATAAATTCCAACATCCTAACCTCCAATTTCAATAGAAATCCAACTTCTTTCCGATCCCTATCATTTGGTCAACCAGAAAAGCATAAGGTTGAGTCTATGATACTAAAATCAGTGCGGATAAAGCCAAAGGTCAAGTCTACATCTCTCCCAGCTTCATTAAAAGGGTCCAACAAGGGTAATAACTCTGTATCACAAATTCTAAAATATGAATATTATATCATTGTTTCTATTGATTATGCATTTAACTAAAATTCAATGGAACTCTAAAGAAACAGAAATTTTGAATCATACCCATTTTCTCTTTTTTCTTTTTTTTTTGGATTTTGGTGGGGGGCTCGGCCATACTAATTTTCCAACTTCCCTCTTTCCTCACATTCTCTTTGGATTTTCCACTCCTTCGTTCATTTTAACACGATATCAAGTTCCCTATTAGAAAGTCAAACCCCTATATATACATAAAAAAGGTTGGAAATAAAATTTTCAAGACATAAAATAACAAAAATTTTATATATTTACCTTGCTTGAGATTGAGTTTCTCGGTTTCAATCTGATCAAGTTGCTGCTTCAGCATTCCCACGCCGGTTCGAAGAGCATTCCGACGCTCTTCCAGTTTCGTGTATTTCTGCTGCAGTTTTGAGTACCTCTCATCCCACTTCCACACACAAAAATTAAACATCAGGGTAAAAATGAAAACATAAACAAAGAAAATGGAAAAAAGAAAAAGAAAGAAATTACCATTGCACAACAGGAATTGGAGGGCTTATCTTTTGCCACTACATCCTCCGACATCGCGATAACAATGAATCCCAAGGTGCTGAATTTGGAGATTCAGGTATTCATCTGTTTGGCTAGGAAACTAGAGCAAAAGGGGGGAGGAAAAGAGTTAGTGGGCAATGAAAACCCTAGTGCACGCGCGCTCTCTCTCGCTCCTCTTAAACCCTTGTTTCATAGTAAACCCTTGCTTTGGTACTTTCAAATCACAATCGGGTTCGGATTTGGAACCGAACCTGCAATAAATTATTTGTTGCCTAAACATAGTTATAAAAAATGAATTCTCGGATAAATTAAAAGTTTAGAACTAAAATTTCTACACCCCCAACTATAAACTAAGGAGAGCACAAGCAACATCAATGCCCACAAATACTAGTGTCCGGCGCGGGACTGCTCTTCGAACAAACTCACAACAACACAAACTCACCTCCTACTAAAACAAACTCACATCAACACACAAGTATTGAAGCAAAACACTTAGCGTCTGTTTAGTTTGTGTTTTAAAAAATTATATTCGAAAATAGTTTTTGAGAAAAATTTTAATAAAGTAATTTTGATATTTTTTGAAATAAAAAACTTATTTGGTTAGATTATTTCAAAAACAACTTTACAATACAGAAAAAGTAAAACCTGTTTGTACAGTCTAAATATATATTTGAACAGTACTTTAAACAATAATAAAAAAAATATAAAAAAGTTATTTTTATATTAACAATTTCATAATATATATATATATATATATATACACACACACTTTTTTAGGCTCTGATACCAACAAGGGAGAGGATCGTGGAGTCTACAAAATGGAAGGAAAACTTTTATTAATATACAAAACTTTATGTACAAGGTACATTTACAGTAGTAGCGTGGAAGGTGGAAGATGGAGGGTTTATACAAGAAAAGAGGGTTCACTGTAACGCCCCAAAAACTACCTTGGACGGCATTACAATTTAAAATCATTCATATCATGAAAGCAACTAAATAAATTCATCAATAAAGAACATTTCATTCATCAAATATAACATTTATAATATCATCCCAAAAGAATAGGTCAAACCATGGTCATTACATCTCAAACAAAATCAATTATTTTCTCGTAGCGGAATAAACAAAATACATCTATTAATATACCAAAATATATCCCCTAATCTAAACATGGAGAGATCAACTCTAGACATTCTCCTCGAGATCCTCACTTTCCTCCAATTGGGTTTCCCAAGCCACTTGCTCATCAACTCCGAGCTCTTCATCTAAACCGACATCTGAGAATAAATAATATTGTAAGAGATGAGCACTAAACTCCGTAGCAACATTCTCTCAAACTCGAACAAGGTTTAGAAAACATGTAAAATAAGTCACTCTCATTTTGTAAATATCATATATTAATTTTTGAAAGAAAACAGGAACATTTCCATAGATCTCAAGTTTACACAATAGCAATAAATTAAGTGAAGTAATAATGTCAAATTACAATTAACAAATCATTTCCAACCATAAACCATTTCGCACAAGTTCTTGTAGAATCTCATACTTCCACAAGCTCTTGTAGAAAACCGTTTCTGGTATAATAAACTATAAACTCATAACTTGTATTTGTATCTTAGGTATGATGCATGATTCGCATGAATAAAAACATCAAGAATATTCTGGCTCACACACACACACCCAAATCCTCGCAAAAATATTTAACCTTTAGAAAGGGCGTATACCAACTCATGGTATTGACAAATCCAACCTAGGAATAGTATAATAACCCTCAACCTCGATAACACGTGAGCGAATAGTGGTTTGATCCTCGCAAGACACCAACCCCACTACGAGTGATAGAGAACCTTCAAACCCACATGGAGTAAGAAACGCATCTAACCCACTCTATGATATCCGGTCAAAGGTCATCCATGGTCATCCAAACATCTACAAGAGATACAATATCCAATCAATTTCTCCAATCACAAATGCATTAAAAAATCTCTCCAATTTCACAAGTAGTATCCCAATTGAACAATTTAAGAAATATATGCTAGAGATCATCATAAATACTATTTGTGGTTCAATATAAAACACTAAAGTTTTGAAATCAAGAACAATTGAACATTAAGAAGAAAATTCATTTTTCTCAAAATTAGGGTTTTCATGGATATCAAACCATAAATACCTTCAAAACATAGTGATATTTGTAAGAACTTCAAGAAACAAATATTTCATAGCATATATATAAGGTTTAGAAGCAAAATATACATATATATATAAACCCTAACCCCAATGAACAAGAATGGAAGAAACCCCCTACCTTTTTTTTCCTTGATTTTTGTGTGAAGAACTTAAGATTTGATCTTTTTCCAACTTGAATCCACTCTAAATCTCTTGTTTTTCTCCTCCTTTCTTCCTCTCTAGAACTTTCTAGGGTTATAAGTGTTGAAATGGGGCTAAGGGACACGTCATTATGTATTTATAGGGTCAAAAATGGACCCCATATCGTGACTTAAAATTTTGGGAACTTACAGAGCGTACCGGTACACAATACTAGTACGGTAAACTCTCTGGATAGTAGCGTACTGGTACGTTGTACCGGTACGGTAACTTTTGGGAGTACCGGTACGGTCTGTTCAGTTTTGCCTGTTTCTCTTGTTTTTCATTTTTAATTCATTCCAAACCCTTCCAAAATCAACCTAAACTTATACAACATACATTTGGACATCAAACATAGTTGGTACAAGTTCGATTACAAAACATTTCATATATTTACTTGCTACTTATTTACGATAAAAGTGTAGGGGTTTACAATCCACCCCCCTTAAAGAAAGTTTCATCCTCGAAACTTACCTCAAGTAGCGAACAAATAGGGGTACTTCTCTCGCATCTCTAGCTCCGATTCCCAAGTAACTTCCTCCACTCCATGGTGTTGCCACAAGACTTTTACTAGTTGAATGAATTTTTCGCAAAACACCTTCTCCTTGGTGTCGAGAATCTTCACTGGTTGTTCTTCATATGTTGCTCCATCTTGAATCTCAGTATCTTCTAAATCCACAACATGTGTTGTATCCAATTGACATTTCCTCAGCATTGACACGTGGAATACATCATGTACCCCTGACAACTAAACGGGTAACCGAAGTTGATACGCCACTTTGCCCATTATTTTGATCACTTCGAATGGTGTGATATATCTTGGGACTAATTTTTTCTTCTTGCCAAATCTCAACACTCCCTTCTTGGGTGACACCTTGAGGAACACATAGTCCCCCTCTTGGAATTCCAATGGTTTTCGTCTTCTATCCGCATAGTTTTTCTATCTACTTTGTGTCGTGTGTAATCTCTCCCGGATAAGTTGAATTTTTTCCGTAGTCTCTCGAACAATATTTGGCCCAAACAAGCTACTCTCTCCAGCTTCTAGCCAACAAGTCGAGGACCTACATGGCCTCCCATACAAAATGCCTCATAAGGTGTCATGTCAATGCTAGATTGAAAATTGTTGTTGTATGCAAATTCCACCAACGACAAATGATCGCTCTAACTCTCCTTGAAGTCCAACACGCAAGCTCGTAACATGTCCTCCAAAATTTGTATCACCCTCTCGGATTGGCCATCTGTTTGAGGATGAAAGGTTGTGCTAAAGTGTAACTCTGTCCCCATGGCTGGTTGTAGACTTTGCCAGAATTGCGCCACAAAACGAGAATCACAATCCAAAACAATAGATAGCGGAACTCCATGTAATCTAACAATCTCGTGAATGTACATCTTGCTCAAGGTCTCTAATGTGTCAGTGGTCTTCATACTCAAGAAATGAGCGGACTTGGTGAGTCTATCAACAATGACCCATAAAGCATTATGCCCTCGCGACGTCCGTGGTAAACCCAACACGAAGTCCATGGTGATGTGATCCCATTTCCACTCTAGAATAAGTAAGGACTATAGTAATCCTCTGGGCTTTTGATGTTCAATCTTCACTTGTTGGCACACCACACATCGAGTTATAAGCCTTGCCACATCTTTCTTCACCCCCTTCCACCAAAATTGATGCATCATGTCCCTATATATTTTTGTGCCACCAGGGTGGATGGCAAACTTAAAGCAATGACACTCTCCTAGTATCTCCTCATTTAGGGATGAATCATCTGGGACGCATAGCTTCTCCCCATATCTTAGTTCTCTATTTCTCAAAAACCAACCTTCCACTATTTTCCAAATTTTCAATTTAGCTCAAATCGACTCTAAGTTAAGATCCAAGTATTGTAACTCCACAACCCTACGTTGGAGTGTAGGTTGGGCTACAAGGTTAAATAGGCATGGACGATTCTCTCGCCTATCTACCCATAGATTAAAGTCCTCCAAGGCATCAATCATCTTCTACCTTTTAACAACAAGGACATGGATTTCACCCTGAGACTTTCTGCTAAGTGCATCTACTACTACATTAGCCTTCCCCGGTAGTAGTTGAGTGTGAACTCATAGTCTTCTAGATATTCAATCCACCTTCTTTGTCGAAGATTCAAGTCTTTATGTGTGAAGATATACTTGAGGCTCTTATGATCAGAAAACACTTGAAACCTTTTCCCATACAAGTAACACCTCTACAACTTAAGAGCAAAAATCACAATGGCGAACTCCAAGTCATGAGTGGGATAGTTCTGCTTTATGAATCTTGAGTTACCTTGAGCCATAAACAACTACCTTACCTCCTTGCATTAGCACACATCCCAAGCCTTGTAATGAAGTATCTATGTAAACATCGTATCATTTCCCACTGATTGGAATAATAAGGATAGGAGCTGTTGTCAACATCCAATTTTTACATATTGGATTAGTTCAAGTTGCTTTAAAACCTTTAACTCTTCAAGGATTAAATGCCTCTTTTATGTTAGCACTAAGAGATGCTAGATGCCTTAATTTTGATCAGTCTTTAATGGGTGTTATGCATTCCAGCTTATGTACTGGTCCAGTTTATTTTAACTATTTTTCCAATCTTTTTGTATCTTTGACAGATAAAAATATTTTGGATGTTTTAACTTGTCATATAA